AAACAGCTCACTAAAGGTTAGAGTATTGGTCATTATTCAACCTGTATATTATGAGGCAATATTTAGAACTGAAAACTAAAGTTGCTGATAATGAATTGTATACTGCCAAACTAATGAAGGAGAGGGAGCAATGGAGTCAAACCAAAGAGACTAGTTCCAAAGAAGTGCAATTTGATTACATGATCCCTTCAATGGGTAAGAGTATTATAAGACTGATTGCATATTGTATACAATTGATAGATAATTTGGAATGTCTAAGTGATGTCCAGGTAGCAGAGAAGAAGCTGTTCTTAATTCAAGGAGACAAACCTCAACTGATGAATTGGGAGGAATATGGTCTAAGGATTGGAGTACAAGAAGGAAGCCTATTGTCCTCTGAGACAGTAGAAGCAGCAGTGGTTGCTCTTGTAGGAGGACAGTTCGAGTTTCCTCCTAATACTGTCCTAGTGAGTGCTGTGTATGCAGTATCACTCTCAAAGCCTCTCCTCAAACGACTCAAGTTAGAGATACAGCACTGCGTTGATTTAACAGGACGACCAGATCTTGCACAATACTTAAAGTTTGCTATAGCTCCCGTAAGCACACCCAATCTTCCTTATCAATTTAAATTAGTTGAGGGAGGAGAGTTTAGCTCTAATACTGGGTATGGATCCATTCAACGTAAAAAATTCTGTTTGGTTTGTATACTGGGGGAAGAATGGACTAATGGAGGAGGTAATGGTGTCTTAATAGCATCAGTTAATGCAGTCACAGAGGGAGAAGAGGAAGAAGAGGAACAGCAACCACAACAAGAGGAGAATGAGGAGGAGGAAGACAATGATGATCAGGAGGAGGAGCAAAATGAAGAGAGAGGCAAAGAGGAAGAAGAGGATGATGATGATAGTAACAGTGATGATGATACCAGCAGTACTCCATCAGAGGCTAGTGGAACATGTAAAGGTTAGTTAGTGAGTCTATTGATGATAATGTAATGTATTCCACTACTGAATAGAGTCTACTACTACTAAAAAAACTAACCTCCCAACCAATACATGCAGTGTCTGTTGCTGGTCCTACTACTACACCAAACACTGATCATGTTAACAGTAAGTACATGTACACTTTCCATTAGTCTAATATTGTATTATAGAAGTGCATTCCACTGGTGTAAGGAAAGCTGTAACATATGCTGGTCTGGTTTATTATGAGGAGAAAGGTATAGAGGATATGGTGACATTCACTGCAGCTAAGAATTTGGAAGCACTTATTCAGGTGTGTGTATTCATGCGCACACACAATGTGTTATTATTATTTGATAGTATATTGAACGGAAACACTCTCTAGCTGAGATTGGACCAGATATTTCCTTTAGTTTCAAGTTTCCTTATGATCACATTGAATTGAACTTTGCTGCACCTCAAAAGAAACCATTCACTGGTTGGACACTTGCTCCTCACACTGATCCTTGCAGAGTAAGCTAATTGTTATTTTATAACACTAAGTCATATCATGTATATAGTTATATCAAGAGGCCATTGATAAATTTGGTGATAAGGAGCATTCTCGTCCTTCATGTTGTCTCATATCAGTTTATGGATCACCTGATGCTGTCCCTTTTCTTAATTACTTCATACCACTGGAAGGTGTGGCTCATCCAGTTTCATTGAACATTCATAAAGCACGAAGAAACTTCACTGTTCCTGTCTCTCCTACAACAAGTAATAGATAAATCATTTCAATTGTTTACTTAATATTGATCAGATCCTACTACCTCCTCTTCCTCCTCCTCTTCTAATACAATTACTGAAGCTACTGCATCATCCACTGGATCCACTGGGGGAGCTAGTAAGTAACAGTGTGTGTGTGTGTGTGTGTGAGTGTTTATGCATGGTTTGTTATATTGACCTTTGACCTCTATTAGGTGCATCAGCTACTGTTGATTAACAGTGTTCTTGTGTCTCAGTTTGCTGCCCTTTCTTCTCTACCTAAAGAAGCAATCCCTAAACTTGCTAATGAGCTTTATGCTGTTCATCTTATTAACAGTGCAGTCAGGGACAATCCTTCAGTTGAGAAGTTTATTGATGAGTTCAAGGCTAGTCTTACTTTTATGGCCAAAATGTCAGATGTTCAAGAGGACTGTTTAAAGTTTTTAAATTCGTTCCTTGCTGTTAGTGGTAGCTTTACTAGTGCAGCAAAGTTTTTGTATCAGAGATGGATTGAAGCTATTAAAACTGAACTAGGCACTGATTTCATTATTAATAGTTCAGTACATGCATCTTTATAATTATTATTTTTTTAATGATCACTTTATAATGTTGCTTTAAAGGTTTGCTTTGTTGTACCTTTGGTTTGTGTGTCAGTATTGAGTTATATTGACCTTTCACTTCTACTATAGGTACATCAGTTACTGTTGATGTTAAACTGAAAAGTTAAGAAAGTTATTAATGATGTTCTTGTATCTCATGCTGATCTCAATTCTCTTAAGACGTCTCTCTCAGATCTTGCTAGTCAGTTGTATACAGCTGGACTCATCAGTGATGAAGTTAAAGAAATTTGCTCTATGGAAACATTCATTGCCAAATTTAAGGCTAGTCTTAATTTTAAGAGGAAGTTGCCTCAAGTGGAGGAGCACTGTCAAAAGTTCTTAAGCTCATTCATTGCTGTAAGAGGCAGTTATGCTGATGCAGCAATAGCTTTAGGTGAGGACTGGATTGAAGCTGTTGGAAATGAACTGGGATTTGATATTAATATTAATACTTAATTACATGTATATTCTCTGAAAGCTTAAATAATTCTAAATTGTTGATTAAAATTAACATTATGTATCTTATTTTGATATGCCATTTCATTGGTGCACTCATATGCATGAGCTACTTCTGAAGCCTAGTCTCGCTAGCCAGACCATTCCCCAGCCTACAGTCATGACTGTATTGGCTGGGGAATGATCTGGCCAGTGAAAGGTCTGGTCAGCGAGACTACTGAAGCCGAAGCCTGAACTGAATTATTTTGATGGATTAACCACATCAAAAAGTGTATTTGAAACAACATGCCCAGAGTTACTTTATAGCTCCAAATTTTTGCCAGTCAAAAACTTTGTCAAAATCTTAATATCTTGTTAAAATTAATTTTTGTCATATTTATTAAAAATTCACGTGGAGCAAAATTTTTGTCAGTTAAAAATTTCGTCAAGCAAAAATTCTTGGAAAACTTGACAAAATTTTTGACTGACAAAAATTTGAAGCAATGCAGTATAATTCATGTTCACTCACCATCAGTTGACCAGTCTGCTCCAGTCATAAGGCTTATAGCACATGATACGCCTCTTAAACACCCAGTTTTGATTGGAATCAGCTCAAACTTTCTACATAACATAAGTATATGTATGTGTATCAGATAATCAGAAACAAAATTTAAAAATGAAGAATTTTCAACTTGTCATTCTTGGCAAAATTTAGCCAATAACCCTGTACTATAATAATACAGGGGCTTTGGTCCAATTTTTGAGCAACTTGAAAAATTTGTAAAAAAATCCAATTTGATTGCAATTTGCTCAAACTTTCATGTGATGTGAGACTATATATCGAATGGATTGTGGCCATGATATTTGCTACAAAATTAAGTGTTCACCAACTGAACTGGCTCAGAATAGTCAAAGGATGATAAATACTGATAAATAGTTTGTTCAGTTTTGCTGCTGCTTGTGTCAGTTGGATTTCTATTGATTTTGTTTACATTAGTTTGTAATTAAATTAGTAATTGTTGGTTTGTCAATCAGCTTGTCTGGATGATGAGAGCCCTTCACAATGTTGCATCATACAACATGATCTCATAGTAGGTAAAGAGGTTAAGGGGATATCCCAGGGAAATCCCGGACTTCCGGTCTTAAAACTGATTCAGCTCTTTACTCAATAAAAAGGAGTGGCTCTATAACTAGATCTCAGCTCCTCAAATCCAGTCTTTCCTTACCTTTTCGCGACCATGTTCTTCTAATAACATGACTACAGTCTGCTGCACTGCAGTTAAGACAATCTTATTATGCTTAGCCCTTTTCGTCGGACTAAGCTGTCTGGGATGCGTGAATCAAACTCCCAACTGTACCAATTTTTCTGGAGTTGACAACCGTCTTGCTCCACAAAATGTCACTGTTCAAACTGGAGAAAACGCTACCTTTACCTCCAAATCCACATGTCACTCTATGAAGGTCTATGTTAATGGTTGTGAGGCCTCCAGGGACTCCGTTCGTTTATCAAGTGATGGTGATATGACCACCCTGACATACACTGCTATCAATGCCAGTCTTGATGAGAGTGGAAGCTCAGTTGAGTTTATAATGTTTTGTAATGGCCCCTCCTGCTACCATAAAGTCTATTTGACGGTCCTTGGTAAGTGGTTCAATATTCTTTGACTTTAATATTGTTTATATAAACATTTAAACTTATGTTGTGGGTTACTATGTAAATAAATTATAATAATTGTATGACCTCTCCCCTCTCTCTTTCAGATCCTCCAATTGAACCGGCTAACGTCACAGTAAATACGACTTGCTCTGGTTTTAATATTTCCTTTATCAGTTCTGATGCTACTGTGGTTACTGTTACCTCTAGCAATGGGACTATGATATACAATGGAACCTTAGAGCCTTCAGTTAACTTCATAGAAATTAATAATAGCATCAGGAATAACGAGGTATATGAATTAAGATTAAAGAGCTACAATGAAGTCGGGCAGAGCAAGTACATCATTGAAAATATTAATACGGACATTAACAGTAAGTTATTTTTTATTAATTATATCAAAGTATTAATTTTGTCATTAGTTGTAAGTTTTGAAATATCTGACGTTTCAATCAAGTATGTTAATGATGTGCCACAGGCGAATGTCACATTAAATGTAAGATAATGATAATTATTTTATTGCTATTATAATTATTATTTTGTTGTTGAAACAGGTTGACAATGATTGCATTTTGTCAGTTCCGTGTACTGTAGATGTTAAATGTGCTTGTTTAAGCAACACAAGTCAAAGTATCTTTTTAAATGGGATATACCAGTTTGTGTTAAACCTAGTAAATTATAAAGAAATGTGTGGCTTGACTGTAGAGGCTGGAACATTGCAGGTCCATAAGTTAATAAGTAAGCATTTTAGTTACCATGTAGTCAGTACTGCTATTAACAAAAAACCAGTAAAACTAGTTTTAAAAAGCAGCTCTGCCTTTGATCATATTGGCAGTCTGTGTAGTAAAACTAGTTTTAACAACCAGTTCTGTGTAGTACCTGTATCAGCATTACTCATACCCAATGGAATGTGCCACATGATGTAATCAATGATTATGTAATTTAATACTATATTCCAGTAATCCTTTCTCCCTCCCTCTCTCTCTCTCTCTCACCCTCCCTTTCTCTCAGACACTACAGCTGTTACAAGCTTCACAGTGACTTCACATGTCACAATCGATGGATACTTTCATGTTAATGCTACACTTCAGAAAGGAGTGACTGGGATCATGATGCAAGTACAATACATCAATGGAACACTCTTTTTCAAGCAGCCTATTTTGAGGAAGCCCTCTAGTGACTATGCTGGAGCTAATAATACAAGACCACTACCTAATGGAACCTTTTATCTATCTATATACATGTTAAAAAGTGATGGGGTATCGTTTGATTTGTTGCAACCTATTAAGAAGAATATAGTGATAACATCACTGATTAAGAGTCCTGATAAACCTAATGAACCTAAACAACATGGTTTCCCAAGTAAGTGTGATGTATAATTGCTTACATACATTTCTCAAGGCCTGGGGACAAAGCTCTCAGGCGTTACTGAAGATTGTTTTTACCATCATGATGTGTAGTTGTATGTCAAAGCTTACACATTGAATTGAAGAAATACAAAATTAAGACGCCTCAGCAACCAACCCACTCATGCTCCTTACGTAAAGTAATTAAGTGTGGCTACAGCACACAAAATTATTTATTTATTTCATTATAGTTTATATACACATGGAATAAAATTTTGAGCTCTTTCTAGAAACCCAGCTATGCATGCAAGGTGGTGTAAACAGGCTGAATCAAACTTTTACATAGCATAAGGATGTCAATTATTATGTATCAAAAAATATAATAAAAATTGGGGTGATTTTAGAGCCATTTTTTAGAAACAAGCATATCAGTATAAAAATATTCCTGTAATTGTTTTCACCACCTTCCATGCATAGCTGGGCACTTATTCAGACTAAGAGGATCAAGTTTTTAAAATAGAATTATGGCCATAACTTTAAAAATTTTAATTGGAATCAGTTCAAACTAAACATCCCTAAAAGACTATATACTCTAGGACATTAGAAGATAGAGAAAACCTCCCTAGGTGCTAAGACTATTTTTGATGAATCATTTACAATAGCCAACCAAGATATAAATTACTGACGGCAAGAAATTCTCCACATCAAAGGCAGATCAAAGCCCAAGGTGCCGAAATGAAGCATGGGAAGAAAACTATGCTGCAGCAAGAGTTACCTGGTCTATATGATGTAGTCTGGCCTCCATACTTTCCATAACTTCTGCTTGTGAGCCTGTAGTGCCTTGTACCACTCAGAAAAATGGCGAGGCGATGTCACCTTCTCTCAGTGATCTTGAAGCCTTCTTGCCGTTAGTAATTTATATTTTGGGTGGATATTGTGTATAAAAAAATTATTTATTCAGTGAAGCCCTTAGTTATGAGAATTTCTGTATGTATGTATGCGTACATTTGGGGGCATGACTGGGAGGTGTGGCCAAAAGGCAGAGCCCCTCAATGTTTTACATTCTTTCTAGTTTTGAATAAATATCATTATTATAATCATTGCTCATTGCATTGAAAATAGTTTTAGCACCTAGGGGGTCTATAAGCCTTAATAGAGCCCAGCTATGCATGTAAGGTGGTAAAAACAATCATAGGAATATTCTTACATAATAATGTTTCTTCCTACATAGCCTGGGCCATTATCTTTATCGTAGTGGTGATCACATTAATACTTACAATACTGGTAGCTGCTTTGCTAGGTTAGTAATAATGATATGTTTTTGATGAAAATTGTATACTTTGTGGTACTGTTTCAGGGTGTTACTTTTCTCAAAGAGGAGAAATGCGAAGAATTCAAGAACAGGAACAAGGCCCAGCACACCCAGTAGTCTTGGTAGGACCACCAGCCCCAGTACATCAAGGAGATCCACCATTACATCAAGGAGATCCACCAGTACGTCAAGGAGATCCACTAGTACATCAAGGAGATCCACCAGTACATCAAGAAGATCCACCAGTACATCAAGAAGATCCACCAGTACATCAAGGAGATCCACTAGTACATCAAGGAGATGCACCAGTACATCAAGGAGATCCACTAGTACGTCAAGAAGATCCACCAGTACATCAAGAAGATCCACCAGTACTTCAAAGAGATCCATCAATTCAAGGAGACCCACCAGTCCCACCACATCAAGAAGATCCACCAGTACATCAAGGAGAAGGAGATCTACCAGTCCCAGCAGATCCACCAGTTCAAGCCCCACAACAAGTCCAAGAAGACCCATTGAACAGACTAGAGTTAAGTATACCAAGGTAGATTACTGATATTATTACAAATGATGTTAGTATTGTATTTTCATTCTAGTATTCCTACAAATTTGCATCTTGTCTTGACTGAACCAGTTCCTCCTTTATCTTCACCAGTTAGTGCCAATCCTCCAACACTGAGTAATATTTTTGAGAACTTTGGTTTCAATATTAATTCACAAACCAATGATCCCAGCGTTTCAATACAAAATAATTCGGTTACTTATTCCTCTACTGGTGATGGATCTGACTGCCCTCTTATGAAACATGATCATGCTCCTGTGGCATCCTCATACCGATTCACACCTTCACAGAGCACAGAAGAGGAAAAGGTTTTATATTATTTTAGTCGCTAATAACAAATAGTTTTTTACATACAAATAGTTTAAGAAACCTGAAGAAGTTAAAGCCAGTGGTGGACCTTTTAAGTTTGTATATAGCTGGAGAAGTAACAAATAAAAATAATTATATTCAATAAAAAATTATGGCTCCATCAAATAATTTATAAATTATTTAAACTATTTCTTTAAAATGTGAACAAAAAATTAAAAGTTATGTGACCTGTTTTATTTTTTTAACTGTGCTGATTTGTTTTGTAATTCTATTTTTTGTTTTTAACTTATTGTTTTGGAGTATTATAATCCTTATAATCCACGGTTTTCAGCCTTTTGAAGCTAATTTATAGATTTATAATTAGCATTATTATAGTAATGGTATTAAATTCATAATACTTTAGTTATGTAAAGTAGCAACTTCTTGTTGTTGTAATGAGACTTGCACCAATCAATCCAAATATTTTTTGCCCATATATTGTATATATATGGCTGTTTGTCATTGGTACATTATGATTTAATAGCTTTTTTCTTATTCTGGTCCTCCTTCATTATCCCACAAGTTAAGAGACAATGATACTGTCATGTTATGGTTACCTCCCCTAGTAGGAGCTGTATCATCATTATTCACATATAATATCATAATAATGGAGTCGACTAATAATTCACTGACAGTAACTGATAAGAACGTTACTAACAATACATATGTCATAATATCACCTGCTAATATAACTGATTATACTGAATGTACTTCATATCAATGGGGAGTAAGAGCAGCTATTAATTTAAGTTATGGATTTATTAATGTAACAATGGCAAAGGAAAATTTCACTTTTAGTCCTGGTAGAGTAAAAATATTATTATATTATTGGTTATTATATTTTATAGGTCCTGCATTATCTGATGAAATGATTGTTATTGATTATAATTATACCATTCAATTCAATATATTTTTTATACTGGGTCTTAAAGAATGAACGATTTGGAGCAGCTCCAACTAGACTACCTTTTATTATGGAGAACAGACAACATTAGAAGAAATTCTCCACACATCAACTTAATTCTTCAAAGCAGATTTTAAGTTTTAATTCTGAGATCGAATTGCATATAATGTGTCAATTCAAGACAAGCATGGTAGAACAAAAGTTAGCAGAAAGAGAATTTCATTGTCAAAAATATAGTTACAATCACAGACAATACATAGGTTTAGACACAATAGTGTTCAAATAAGTTCAAGAGCAGCACAGCTTTGATGCGGGTGCAGTAGCATTAGTTTCTTGTAGTGGTGAGATCCAGTATTGAAGTACATGAAGCTCTTCATTAGGATCAGAAGGGGAGTTTGTCACAGTAGTAGGTAAGATGATCATACTAGGCTCAGTATTTAGAGTAGAAGAGTTAATCACAGTAGGCACATTAGCTGCAGTAGAGGAGGAGATATTGCTTGCAACTACAAGAATAGAAAATGATACTTTTCCATCAACTACTTCAAGAGCTTCTTCCATCAAGAGGTGAAAAAAATGATAATGATACTCATAATCCACATTGTATGAATATTCATAAAACAAACTGACAATGAATTTAATTATACCTGTGATGTATAGGAAGTGAAGCCATAAAGGATCCTTATAAATTTGTATATGAATTCCTCGCTGTTTGGTCTATTATACAAACTTTACTAGAATAAACAAAACGTTTCAGCCCGAAGGCCTTAATGTTTTGTTTATTCTAGTAGAGTTTGTGGTTGTGTATAATATGCCAAACAGCGAGGAATTCATGAGAAGACACACCAATGAATCTGAAGAATATCAAATTTGTATATAGCTGGAGAAGTAACAAGTAAAATTAATTATAAAATGTATTTAATGGCTTCATCATCTATATAAATTTATAAAATATTTCTAGATTGTGCGTGCATACACAATTTTTTTTATTTTTCTTTTATGTGATTATTTGTTTTTAGTAATTCTATTTCATAATAATATATTTTTTAACTTATTGTTTTAAAGTACTCTAGCACATTGTCTTTGGCCAGATTTTGAAGCAAATTTATAAATTTATAAGTAGGATTATTATTATTATAGTAGTGTTAGTAAACTGATATGCTTCATTAGGCAACCTTGTAATTAACAATAAACACATCTCTTGTGTATTTAGTAGTAGTAGTAGCAATAACTGATATTGTTGCGACAGCTAAGATAGCGTACATCAGACATCTGTCTGTAACATGTAAACTGTAAACTGTATGAACTACCAGCCTCATTATTAAATACTATATAATGTTGATAGGAGGGACTCTGATATAATTAATTCGTTTTGCTGTAACTTACAATGCATATATAATTCCAGTTGCTGCGTGCTATTTACTATTTTGTTGATGAGCTTAATAAATATACATCAATATGATATTTAATGTTAACCTTTTTAATACTGATGAGGAACTGAAAGATACACCGAGCCTGTGAACATATACATGAAGCCATATTAGGACTAACTTCTTTCATAATAGAAACTGACAATTATTATTATCAACTGACCTAACCAACATCATTAAATTGGTGAGGTAAACAGAATACGACCTTAGTACCTTGAAGCCCAAAGGCAAGAGTAGTATCAGATTGCTATAAAAAAATTATACTAGTACATTAGTAACGCGGTAGCGTTACTAAGTAGGATTCACCCCCAAACAAGATGGCTGCCACGACTTTTGCAGCCTTGCTATACCGGGAAAACAAGCTCCTATGCTTACCAGACTTTATAGAGGACCTTATCTTGACCAGAGGACTCTAATGGTACAGCTAGCGTGGCTCCAAACCTTTTCTAAGAGGAAAGTCAAAAATCCGCGAACCGGCCGTTTTGTTCAGCCACCTTTTTTCATCTTCATCATCATCAAGAATAAGTTCTGTCAATTCAGTTGGCGAGGTGTATCTCAATATTTCCTGGTGCTACAAGGATAATTCTTACACCAATCTACTCCAACAGTCTATGCGCAGGTCCATGTCCCATAAGATCATTCTTCAAGTAAAGAAAAAGTGATACTGTGACTGCTGGATAGAGCCATCTTAGCTGCATACCGCCATTTTGTTAATTAAAGAAGCATGTGCTCCAAAATTTGGGTGTGGTCACGCATGCTCAGATCTGCAGCTCTGGAAGAAGCAATTTATTTTTTTACCAAGCTATGCTTGGAATCAACTACTGCAATACTTTAGTGGAGGTTTCCAGCTAAAAGAAGGTATTAATCTTACATGTTACTGTTTTATCAAGTGTGTGATTTTATTTTATTTTAAAAAACAAACAATTAATTAATGTTATGATATGCAATGATAATATGAATGACAACAGCCTGGAAGAACAGGAATAGCTGCAACATAACATGTAGGGAAGATGGACACTCTCAGCTCACAGTTTCTTGAACAAGGACTTGTGTGAAGACTAGTATTAATTTCACTTGTCATCAGGATAGTTGATATTCCTTCAGCATGTCTATTCAATGCTGTCTCTCATTAATGATGTAAAGTCATAACAATGATAATAATAATAAAGAAAATTATTGTTTGTGTAAAATCGACAAGCATCAAAATGGCAACTAAAGAAATATTATAAATATTATAAAAAATCAACACAAACAAGAACATAAAAAATTAAAAAATACAAGGTTAAGTAGGATTCCGAACGACCAACGAAAATACA